CAGGAAAATGACAATACTGAATTTTTCAGTTTTTAGTAACACCAGACTGGGAGAGGGAACAACCACACTAGCAATTTATAAGGTGGAGAGCAGAGGGCCAATGGGCAGGCACTTACTGACCCGGGACAACAGAACTGTGAACCAGTCACAGGGAACCTGAGACCTACTCTGCTGTGCAAAATCCCCAGTGCTCAGGAACGGGCAGAAGACCAAGTACCTCTCTGAAAGGGGAGGGCTGCGACTAYGGAAAGGGAGCTGAAACTCTAAGCAGCAGTCAGATCATTCCTACTCCTCAAAGTCAGCTGAGCCCCCTCCAGCAGACAGAAGCCCTTCCTGGTACCTGGACCCAGAAACACGATGCACACCTGCGGGCAGCCTGACTCTGCTCAGACTGGGGCACCAAGTTAACAGACGTGGAGACCCTCAGCCCAGCTGTGCCCTCTGTCTACCTGTGGCTTCTAGAGTGCTGGCAGCAGGCAGAGTCAGGGAGAATCTTTGCTGGGGAAGCTACTTTCTCTGCAGGAAAAAAGGACTTAAGATACTGGTAGGGCAGGTCCCCTGTGGCCCTAGAGTGAACACCCAACCACATCCACACCCTCATATGGACAGACAATGCAGGGTCACCTGACACCCAAGGAAAGTCCATACATGAAAGAGAGAAAAAAAAAAGGCAGAAAGGGGCTAGTGACTTGGCTCTGTGGCAGAGCACTTGCTTGCCCAGCATGGGGCAGGAGGGAGAATTTGGAGAAAATAAAGACTAAATAAAAAAACACTACCAGTAAAATTCTTATATTGCTAAGAATTAAACAAGAATGTGGTGCTATGAGGACATACACATGTTCCGATAAGAATAAAATACTCCTGGGACGAAAGATAAAGCCATGAAAATATAGAAGAGGAGAGGAAATTTTAAATGGAAAATAGAGAACAGAAAAAAACTAGACTATAGAATATAAAAACTAGAAAATATGTAAACTAGAATTATAATAACAATATTTTAAACTGGTGATTCTAATAAGAGAGAAGAAAAAGTCATAAACTGTCCCAAGTTCTATCACTGTGGATACAAAAATAATTTCTTACGAAGACAAGTAAGAAAAAGCAAGGTGCAAAGTGTCACCTCACATATGCAGACAAAATAAGTTGCTTATATTTCCAGAAGCCCCAATAAGTTACACAAAAGCACAGTAAAATTCATTTGCAGTGGGGAGTAGAGATGCTCCATTCAAATATACATTGTTTTGATTTTTTTGTATCATGTGAATGGAATACCACAAATAAGAACTAACATAAAATAGCCAAGCTTTTGTTTTGTTTTGTAAGAAAGAAAAGTTCCCTAAACTTAATGACACGCTTTCTGTTTGAAAAGACCCTCCATGTGTCTGGCACACAAGATGAAGACAGAACCATTCCAAAGTACATCACTGTGACATTTGGAACCCAAGGACCAAGAACATTCCTATACATTTCCAGAGAAAGGGTGAGAAAAGATTTAGATTCAGAATGAGTTGGGTGCTGTGGCGCACACCTGTAATTCCAGCTTCTACCAAGGCTAAAGCAGGAGGATCAAATGATAAGGGGCAACTTAATAGGACAGGGTCTCACTAAAAATGAAAAAAAAAAAAAGATACTGGGGCGGGGTATAGCTCAGATCGCTTGCTTAACATGTGGGAAACTCTGGGTTCAATCCCTAGTAGGGGTGGTGGTGGGGTTGAAACAAAATTGTCTCTGGAAGATAAAACTCTTAAGAACAACTGATTTAATCAAATCTCTTGAGAGGGAATTTATATAAGTGACCAAGAATTTAGGGTTAAGTCACTGAGAACATAGAAAACTAAACAAATGGGAAAACAAGACAACTCCAGTGGGGAAATGGTTTTAGGAAAAATAAAAATGATCATCATTAACCACCTGTGTGCTGTGAATATATTAGAATAATTGTTTAAACAGAAACAAGGTTTTTGACTGACCCAAATTATGATCCTACCTTGGTAGCAAAAGGGAAAGAAATCATGGAAGGAGGGAAGAAGAAACATCTATCCTAGACAACAATGCCTACACCTGAACATCAGGGAATAGCAACATGTTTAACTTAGAGACAGGAGGGAGGTAAAAACCAAAACAACTTGTCAAAAACGGAAGGATCTGAGATTTTTCCCTATTTACAAGCTTTCAAGTCAACATGTCACAGTTTCATAGATGCTGGCAGTAGACACAGGGTTCTTGGCTCAGAGACAAAGACATTTATTACGCACAGAAGCAGTAGAATATCAACATTTTTGTTCCCAGAATCCCAATGCTCACAGGGTGGTGCAGAGAGGACCAGAGGGCACCTGTGCACCCAGTGGGTTGCATGACAGGAGAGGAAGTCCTAGCTTAGGAAACCTAAACTTTCTATAATGAGCAGAAGGTGTGCCTGCCTTTTGCTCTGGAGGAAGCAAAAGGGCTGGGGATGTAGCTCAGTGGGAAAGCACTTGCCTAGCATGGAGGCCCGGGATTCAATTCCCAGTACTCAGGACGGCAAAAGGAAGAGATAGAGAGAGAGAGAGAGAGAGAGAAAAAAAAAAAGTCCAAGTAAGGCAGTCAGTGCCTCACTCCACTAAACAAGCAGAAGAAATGCAAGAGACCCGTGGAGAACTGTTAACCAACCTTGGCGGTTTTCATGATCAACCTTTAGGAATTATTTCAATGTATAAATTACTAGCAAGTGTAACTGTCCTAAAAGTCTAACCAGTAGTTTTACTTACTAAAACAATTCGCCCAGCCTTTCTCCCAACTGCGAATCTTTCTCTTTACAATGGAGACCCCCAAAGAGCAGGAAAATTGATAAAGACACTCCCAGCTTTCCCGATTGTGCAGGGCGATCTGATCCCAGGGGAAGACTGTCCCACTCCCAGCACCCAGAACAAGAACCAGGTAAATCGGCTGCCGACCCCTAGGGGTTCACCACCAAAAAAGCAGAAGTGGGTGGCCCACGCTGCGGCTCTTAGCTTAGAAGCATGCCATGTTTGTCAAGTACTCAGAGATGGGTTTTTTTTCCATGTGACAGGTGAACGGACCACAGCTGACAGTTAAGAAACATGCAACACAAGAGCACTCGACGCCGCGAGCCTGGGTGCTCCTCTCAGCGTGGCTGTGGCTGGGACGACGCCCCCGGGGGCAGGGCGGGAGAAGGGCGGGTCCGGGGTCCCGGCCCAGCACAGTCAGGAGCTGCAGCCAGAGCGCTCCCTGGCCTGTGCGCACTTTGGGCGTCCGAGGGCGCTCCGGGCAGGCTCTGCCCCCGCTCACTTCCACCTTAGCCTCCCCCTCGCTTCCCCGCGGCTCTGCGCCCTCAGCCCTCCTTCCCGCACTGGCCACCTCCGGAGGCCGCGGGGGAGGGCCGTGCCACACGGATCCCGCTTATCTGCCCCATCTCGCGTTACATAAGGCCGCTCCCCTATCTCCGCGGGCCATCGCCGCGCCAGCGCGCCTGCTCCCACGCGCTGGGGCGCCTGCCCACCGCTGTCCGCATGCCTTCTGCTGGCCAGGAGGGGTAGGGGCACGTTGACTCATGCATGCGCGGTGCTCTGGGGACTTGCACAGCCCAAGGTGTTTTCCCCATCATTCCTCCACCACGGAGACCCCAAAGGAGATGACATTGGCCCTTTGCTACAGATGCGGAAAATGACGCCAGGCACTGCAAGGCCTCTCTGGGCAGGGGCGGGCTCCCAGGTGTCAGGGCCTGTAGTTGGGCTGCAAAGCTTTGAGTGTAGGCCAAAGACTGGGAATTGTGTTCCCAGCGGGAAGGGGAGCAAAGCAAGGCTGGGAGGCATCTAAAAGAGTGAAGGGTCTGGCATTCCTGGGAAGACCTTTGTAAAGTTGAGCCACACGGAGGAGGGGACAAAGGGAGCCTGAGCAGACCAAGAGGGGACCTGGAGTGGCAGGTGCTGGCCTAGGAGAGGAAGTGGGTAAGGGAGTGAGTGCTCTCCACATTAGCACTCAATAAGCAGATACTGTAGGGGTTTCTGGAGGAATTCTAGGGAAATGAGGGAAGAGCAGGAAAAAGGCTACAGGCCAGCGTCCCTGCAGGGATGCTGCTTACAGGGGACAGGCCCAGAAGCTCCCTCCACAGCATTTATTCTGTAAAAGGGAAACGGGAGGCCCTTCGCAGCAGGGGCTGCTCCTACAGAGACTGGTGGGCAGAGGTAGTGCCCCCACCCAGTCTCATTTGGCTCTGAGAACAGTTACACACCAGGTCCAGGGCTGGGGCTAGGGCACTAAGGCCATGGTGAGCCCCAGAATTCAGGCTGCTCATACCTAGAGTTACCACCAAAGCATCTTTAAAAAATTAAAAGTCCCAAGAGGAACTTAACCCTGGTTGGCTCTTTCAGTGAAGACCTGGGAGTCTGACCTTTTTGAATCCTTCCTGTGGTGGGGCCAAGGAGGAATCATGTGGGACACAAAAACCCAACTTCAGTCTCTCCTTTTGTCTTGATTGAATTTTGTATTGAAAATCAAGCATTACTTTGGTAATTTAAGAAAAACTACAAGTCCCAAATTCCCATAGCTCATAGACCTGTCACAGACCCAGTGCCACTTGGACTGCCCAACACTTCTGGTGACCCAGAGGGGTCTGAGGACAGGAGTTCAGAATTGGTTTGGCTGTCCAGGAGCTCAGGATGGTCACCAGGTGGAACTGCTGCACTGCCGATGCCAGCCACTCTCAGGGGCCCCTCACCAACACCTGGGATTCAGCCATTCCAACCTTGGAAATTCTGTACCARATCCTTCTCGATAAATCCACTAGAAATCAAGATCTTTCCTTTATACGATGCTGGATTTTCCACAAAGTAAAATCAAGATTAGTAAAGATGTGGTTTCTAGATAGTGCCCAACAAAGCGGAGGCCAGGGTATGGGGCGTCACCATTTGGGCCTATAAAAAGCTGCCACAAGAAGCAAAGGCCACAAGCCGCTCAGCTTTGACCAGCACATGACACGTCTGTTCCTCTGTTCTGTGCTGGCTTTGGGTCTCATGGCGCTCTGGTTGACTGTGGTCCTCACCCTTGCCTGCCTCGGTGGCCTCGCTGCCCCAGGCCCAGTGCCTCCTCCATCCCCAGCCGTCAGGGAGCTCATTGAGGAGCTGGTCAACATCACGCAGGACCAGAAGGTGAGTGTGGACTGGCCAGGCAAGGCTCTGAGGGGCCAGGAGGGCACTATTAGGAAGAGGTCATGAGCAGATTGGGCCTGGACCTGTATACCTGTGGGTGAAGAAAAGCCCCGTGGACGAAGGGCCAGGCCAGGCCATAAGGGGTGGGGTGGGGGGGGTGCAGCAATATGGAGCTCTGAAGGAGTCCAGCAGAGCTCCTAGGGACCAGCTGCTCCCTGGTCTGGCCTTACCACTGACAGCTCCTTTTCAGCGTTGTTAGCAGAGAAGGGTCAAGGTCCTCCTAGAACCATTTGGAATTTGCCATCTGGGTTTTGAACACAGTAAGCCAGCCATCATTGTTAGCGGTGGGTGAAGCCCACTCTGTGGGAGGAGTCCTCACAGAGTTGGCCCCTCTCCTCACTGGCATTGGCTCACACCAGGCCCACTGCTGGCTGCTTAACATTTCATTGTATTGCTGGCCACACCTCCAGAGGAAGGCGCCATGACCCCATTTTGCTAAAATTCAGTGAGGTTAATTGACGGAGGCCAGGTTCAAACCAGGCCTGGTGGACACCAGAGGGTTCCTAACTGTAGTACCCCTACTGCAGAGCACAGGTACTTAATTCCCCAGACCCCACTGCCCCCCATCTGAATTGTCCTGATCAACCGCAGACTGAGCCACCACCTCCCTCACCCAACCTGGCTCAGGGCCCTTCTCTGCAGGTCCCCTATCCTAGGTGTGGCAAGCTTTAAATAAAGCTTATCGCTTATCAGTTTTTCTCCCTGAGCTCCAGGACCCTCTATAATGAGTCCCCAGCCCCTTATGCAGAGCAGAAAATGAAGCTCAGGAGTGCTGAGGGGTTGCCAGGCCTGATGGTGCCATACCAGGGGTACTAGTGGGGACTATCCTGGTGGGGACCTGGCCCCAGGCTGGCTGGGGCTCTACCAGCCATCTGCTCACTGTCACTTTGCTCCCTCAGGCTCCCCTCTGCAATGGCAGCATGGTGTGGAGCATCAACCTGACAGCTGGCGAGGTAAGGTCCTTTGGCGACGGGTGGGGAAGTGGCAGCAGCTGTAGGCCTTGGGATCGTCTTCTCTGAGCCTCACTCACACTCTGGGGCTTTCCCAATGAGCTTCAAGAGCTACCCTCTCTCCCTTACCACTGGGGCTCTTCCCCCCAACCCAGACCCACCTCTGCCAGGCTCTCAGGCCCTCTTCCTGTAAACACATCAGCCTCCCCCCACGAGGCCTGACACCTGTGGTCTTCTCCCACAGTACTGTGCAGCCCTGGACTCCCTGATCAAGGTCTCCAACTGCAGTGCCATCCAGAAGACCCAGAGAATGCTGAGTGGCCTCTGCACACACAAGAACACTGCGGGGGTAAGGCTCCCCCCCACACCCCAGGCCCCTCCCACACCCACTCCCGGGTCCCAGGGAGCTCCCAGGGAACAAGGCTGAGTACCTGAAGTGTGTGTCCACCCAGGATGTGGACAATAGGAACAGGGCCTTTGGGATTGACAGGCCTTGGGCTCAAGGTCTCCTGCTTGAGCCTCAGTTTCCACTTCTGTAAAGTACAGATAATGGCAGTACTACCTCGGGGGACTTTCGTGAGGATTAAACAAGACAGTCCCTGGAAAGCCCCTGGTTGTCCTTGCCCATGACATCCACTAATGCGCTGGCTTCTCTGTCCTGCAGCAGGCTTCCACCGTGCCCATCCTGGACACCAAAATTGAAGTGGGCCAGTTTGTGAAGAAACTGCTCAGTCATTTACGGTGTCTTCTTCGCCATGGAAAGCTCCCCTGAAGCATGAGATATGCAGAAATGGGCCCTGATTATTGAAGTTGCAGATTCATTTTCTTACCAATGTCAGGAACTGTGGGGGACATGGGGAGGAGGGGGGGGAGGGAAAGATTGCCTTAGCTTAGACCTCAGCCTGTGCCACCTGCCTTCAGCTGTACCAACCCTTGCCTGGGTGCCTGGGGCTCAGCCTAGTGGCCTCCTTTGTCCAGGGCTCTGAGCTCAAGGGACCCGGAGTGAAGACACTTCCCTGCACCTGGACCCCTCCCTAGGGCAAACTGTAGCATTCCAGTGGGTGCTGTTCTTGCCAGACAGGGACCTGCTTCACACAGGGTGACTGACTGAAGCAGAGACAGCTCAGGCCCATTTCTTCTTAGTCTTATTTATTATTGTGTGTTATTTAAGTGAGTGTCTGTTAGTGTTGGGGTGGGGGAGGCTTTTGCTGCCTGAGTGCCTATGACTTGGGGCTCTAGCGGAAAGCAGTGGGCATTGATGGGGTCCCTAGTAACAAGTACTGTGCACACAATCCTGCTACCTCACTGGGGCTCTGGGGCCAAGGAGTAATTTATTATTTTGTCCTCATATTTAAAGTTAAGTATTAAATATGTTAGCAAAGAGTTAATATATGGAAAGGAGGCCTACAACAATGAAGGCCGCGTGTGTGTGGACTGGGGGAGGGGGGTCACTGAACAAGCTCTTTCATTGTGCCAAACTGGAAACCAGAAATAAAGATGGTGACAGATAAGCCTGATGATGTTTGCCTTTTTTTGGCCTCTGGGGACACCTGTCTGGTTACAGAACTTCGAGGAGCTCTGTGAGAGGCAGGCTGGTGGGAGGAAGGGGAGTGAGGTGCGAGACCTGAGCTGGAAAGAGTAAGCAGACCCTTGGGATTGGAGGCACATGGCCTTGGGGTTGGGGGCTACCCACAGTGCAGAGAGGAAGCTGGAGCTGGCATGTCAAGGTTCAAGGAGGGTGTGGAATGGGTGGAAGACCTCCAAGATGAATCACTACCACGATTCCAGCTGTGTCCAGCTGTGTCCGGCACAGCCCACACACTCTCATGTCACCCTAAAGGGCAGAGGAGGACTCTGAGGCTCAGGAGAGTAGGTGGCTCACCCAGGGTCACTAGGGATCAAAGCCAGAGTTTGAACCCAAGTTCACTCCAAGTCCAAAGCCCATGTTCTCAATGGCTCCGTCTGCCTGAGTGCCATCGGTCTGAGGGCACTATTTCCCTGTCATCAGCCTGCTGGGCACCCCCATTGACAGGGAGTGAACTGTCTGCTTCCTGGGACAGCCCCTTCCATGTCTGGACACCACTCAGGAGAAAGTGCTCTCCACCCCATCTGTGAACAAAGAGGCATCTGCTCGCAGCCTCTGGACCAGGATGGACCAGAATGGGCGCAAGGGTCCCAGCTGCCCCACTCCGCAGAGCAGGTCTGTTTTACTCTCCTGTAGGCTCAGCGTCCCTGGAGTCTGGAAGCAACAGCCCACAGCTGAAGCCTTGCCTCTCAGCCCCTCTGGGAGGTGCCCAGAGCAGAGGGTGGCTCCAGAGGACGAGATGCTTTGCAGCATGGGTGGAGGGTTACCAGGGCAGTCTCACACTGGCAGGCAGGCACCCTAGGGTGGTGTGTCTCCCAGCAAAAGGATGGCTGCAGCTGAGTACTCAGGAACCAGCCCTTCCATTCCTTACCTCACTGCTGCGGGGAAAGGAGAGGGAAGAAGGAGTGGAACTGGGCTGGGAGCTGGGGATGCTCAGCCAGGGGGAGAAGGCCTGGGGAGGGACACAGGAGTGTGGACAGGGCTGGGACTGGCTCTCTGGGGTGCCAAGGAGGTCACAGGACCTAAGTCCCATTACATTGGCTGAGGACCACCTGTGGCCCCACGGGTATAAGCCACCTGGGCTGCTGAGGACCAGGCATCACATGGCCCGAGGCTTGGCACCACAGAGAATTTAAAAATGGGGAGGCTGCTCTCCCTTGGGAGGCCCCCCAGCCCTCTGGAGGTGAGGCTTCACTGCTTGCTGGGAGGTGGAGGAGGCTGGAAAGCACCACACAGTGGAGTGGGTAAGCCAGGCTCTTAGCGTCCCTCTCCATCCACAGTCCGGGACTTTCAGACCAAGAATATTTATGAGAAAGTAATGTTTTTTCTCTCTTAAACTGAACTTAGTGATCCATTCTCCAGTAGCATGGATTTCAAACTTATCTTTTCCGCCCCTCTCCATGACCTATTATTTGGCCTGTCTGTTCAAAAAGATGGAGACTCATCCAGTGAAATTTCATGGGAATCCCTCAAGAACTAAGACTGGCATTTGGGTCCCTGAGGATTTTTTTTTCCCTGGATGCATTCCAAGCCACCCACCCATTCAGGCTGTATTGGGGGCTGGTGCACAGAGCAGATGGGCTGTGCCAGGCCCTGCCACTAGGGGTCCACAGCTTGCCACCTCCTCAGCCCTGCCAAAGCTGCCAGTCTCAGGAGACTTGTCCCCCAAACAGGGGAACCTGTGGTTCCCAGAGGCGTGCAGTGGGCTGGAGTAGGTACAGGGCCTTCCAGGGAAGAGGGATGCCTTTCAGAGGCACAGAACCAAGCTGCTGCTGGTGACAATAGTGAGGTGGCCCGGTCAGGAATGAAAGAAAAGAAACAGAAAAAAAGGCAGGTGTCAGCCACAGTGCCTGGGAGCATCGTGGCCTGGGGACCGACTCCTGGGTATTTGCTGAGTTTTCAGGATAAGGCCTGGCCTCCTCCATAGACAGGGCAAATCCTTAACAGGACCAGGAGAGAAGGGTTGAGAAGAGATAAGGGTAGTTATGAGTGGGAGGCAAATGGCAGCCGGGGGCCCAGGGTGGGGAGCCCCTTGGTGCCACCTGGAACCCTAGGCCGGGGAGGTTTCACTGGAAGAGGGGCCAGGGCTCAAGTGAGAAGCGAGACACGATCGTGAGTTTCCTGTGAAACACACCTCTGTTTGCTGCTCAGATGAGGTGTCAGAAAACACTGCAAGTCACCTCAGGGGTTTCTCTGAGGCCGGCCCCCTGCAGGCTCAGGATGAGGAGGAGTAGGACCAGGGGACTAGGCCAGCTTTTGTGTCCTGTGGCAGAGGAGCAGCCTGAAGGCTGGGGTTATCAGTCTATCAGCTTATCACGTTTTCATTATGGTCAACGGGGAGGTGAGTCTCTTCAGTCAGTGAGCTGGTCAGGTGTAACAAACCCAAACCCTGCTCCTCCCYCAGCCTGGCCCCCTTCTGGGATGGCCATCGGTGGAGGCTGACGGTGCTCCAGGAGGTGTGCCCAGCCTGGACACTAGGGCCATGTCAAGCTCCCGGAGATCCAGGCTAGYCAGGACAAGGCGTATGTCCACAGTCGGCCTCCCACACAATGCCCTCTCTACCCTGAAAAATAACAAGTCATGAGGCATCATTATCTTCATTCATTTCTCAGCTCCACCCAAAAGCGACAGGGTGCATGGTTTGCAACGAACTTTCCCAGATCAACTGATTTCTCAGCAGCCAGGGAGGGCCCCATGACGAAGCCATTTGAAATCCCAGAAGCAATTTTCTACTTACGACCTCACTTTCTGTTGTGCTCTCTCCCTTCCCTTCCCCGGGGCCTTCTCTTGTGGAAAGTGGTTCTCTCTCAGTGTCGCTCAGAAACGCCTCCAGCCCAGTGCACTGCCTCGGCTGCTGTGTGGTCAGAGGTGACGCAGACACCCAAATTAAATATAGCAACTCTCGTCAGCTCGAACTCTACATCACTATGGACAAGACTGCGGGGGCCGCACGGCTTTTCCAGAAACCCACGTGGGGAGGAAGGCCCAAGTCCTCCATGGTGGCCCCTATGACCTATTGGCTGCCCAGACCAGAAGATCTATGAACCCTTGCCCAGCCCCAGGCCTACACCAGAGGACCCAAAGTGAACATCACACCAGGAAAAGCAATTTCTCATTGATTTACTCTTCTTTCTTCTACTCTTTGTTTCCCACAAGTTCTATAATAAGCATACATTTATTTCCCAATGGGGAACAAAGAAATTTAAATTTAAAAAAGTGACAAGAACCTGAGATTGGTATCTGATCCCTGGAGAAGCTGATTAGGACTGGGGCAGGTGAAGGGCCCAGCAGGATTCTCCTGACCCTTGGCTCTCCCAGGAGAGGGGCTGGGGACCTGCAGGGGCCTGAGAGGCAGCACCTATAGCCTGGCCAGGGGCCCACCGCTTCTACCTGGGCTGGGCCTCTTGGGCCAGTCATACCCTTCATTGACCTAGAGAGAGGAGGGTACTCTATTCCTGGGGATCTTCTCCTGGCCCTGGCCTGCCAGGCTGGGTCAGAGGAGCCAACGGGAGGGAGATGGGAAAGGGCCCGTGGCCAGTCCAGCTCTGAGAGTGATCCTGGGGCAGACAGAAGATTTCTGCTGACTCTTCAGCAGACTCCCCTCTCAGGAGAAAGACTTCCACCTGCTTCTCAAAGAACAGAGGACGGCAGCCTGCGCAGCTATGTGTCCACCTGCTCACCGAAGCCAGAGGCCAGCCGTACCCACCTTAGCTCCTGTGCCCTGGAGCAGGGTCCTCCCTGCTGCATCTGTGCTCAGGGTTTCTTCCCCTGCCTTCTTAGGGATGTGGGCAGAACATGCAGCCCAGGGCTTGCAGCAGGGACTCCCCAGTAAAACCAGCCCTGACTTGGAGTCCCACTGTGACCTTGACTTCAGCTGTTGTCTCTTGGGCCACATCTCAGTTGCCCCTCTGTGAATCGGAGCTCCATCCACTCACTCATTCAACAAGAACTGACTGAGACCTTGCTAGATGGAAGACACTGTTCTAGGTGCTGGGATCCATGATGAACAAAGCAAGGTTACTTCTAGTGGGGGACAGAATACATGAAGCAGCAGCACAGGGCATGTCAGGTGGCCCAAGTGTGCTCCAGAGGTGGCCAGGACAGTCCGGGAGATCCTCCCCCATGAGAGGGATGAGAACAGAGGCCCAGGGAGAGGGAGGGAGGCTGGGAGAGAGCCATTTGCATAT